CCACACAGTACATAGCCCTCCAGTAAGCTAAGTCCTATAGCAAGATCTTGGAGAGTTTCTAGCGCCAAATGCGGACGGGCCGAAATTAGTTTCATTTGCCGGCAAATTCAAAACAGATTCTGAATTTTTAGGGGGCAAAATTCAAAAAGTATGCTTTTAACGGAAAATGTAGTTAAAATAAAAACTTATTCTAATGCCAAAAATACATTCTTTTGTCCAAAAATATTTTATACACTTATACATATATAAATGTATAATATAATATCAGACATGGAGAGGATAGTTCAGAAAGTTTTTATTTATTATTTTATGACTACATATATCTGCTTTCCATTACATTAACAAACAGTTCCGAAAACAACAAAATAAAACACAGATATCCTGACACTTTTTTATTTGTATAATTTTCTTTGGTAAAGTATTGGCAACAAATATCCTCCCCCTTCCTGATTTCTTAAGCCCTTATAGAGTGTGGATGGGGATACTCTAAATATTGTTAGCTATAGCTGTGTCCATTGGCTGCAATTCTGTACCAGATGGACAACTTCATGTAGTGATTTTTCCGCTAATCTTCCCCTTGTGTTGGAGATCTTCTTATTGATAAACATAGATGCCTATATATTCATTAGTACTGGTTTGTTATAAATTACATACCTTCTAAAATACTCTTCCTTAAAGGACCATTATGTAGATAATAAAGTGTAAATTCTATCATTTCTGTAATCTTGCTCTTCAGAATTATCACAAATTAGTATGTAACTATTGCTCAGAAGTAGAAGGTCCATGAAAAGCTATAATAATGAAATATTATTAAAATAAAGAATGTATGACTTTTAGGAATACAATAATAGTTAAGAGTTTTAATAATTTTAAAATTTTAGATTTTAAGATTATGATTTACTACAGAAGCCAAATGTACAAAATAGTATCAAGTTTGTATTTACTAACAAAAGCTTGGTTTAATTAGGTGCTGTTCTTGCCTAGTAGTAGTGCTTGTAAAAATATACTCCTAATCCTGAGACTGTTTGATACCCCTTAATCCAGCTTTAACTAACTTTTATCCATCCACAAGAATATTTTTTTGATTTGGAGTACTATACCATTGTGGCATTGTACCTTGTTCTCTTTTATCAATGTTTATTATATATATATATATCAAAATTGATGTATGTATACTGTTTTTATCTCCCATTTCTCAAATTTGGAATACAATGTTTTTGTTTATGTTTATATAAGTCTATTTGCAATTTGCAAAGGCGTGGATTGCAATGTTGCCACTAACACATTTTTTTTTCGGTGGATACTCAAAAATCTTTAGAAATAAGATATTGTAAATTAAAGTTGTGATTTTAGTAGAATTTGCTACAATCTCTGTTTTTTTTTGGATAACATTAATCATTATTTGGGTAAATATGCAAAACAAGTGAAACCATGGCAACAGCAATTACATCAACGTCAACGTCATACGCCTCTTTCTATGTCATACTTCCATTTAACATGACTAGTAGCGCCGTTGCCATTATGAACGGCTGGGCCCACGCAATTCACTCTTCCTACTTATTCTATACCACATACAATACTACTTGTGGTATATACTGTGCTTGTCACTTGTCCTCAATTTTATTGTTTTGATATTTGATATTTTTGAAGTATCTACTTAACCGATATCAGTGTGGCAAAAAAAAATTATTTTCACAGAGAATATTACCCAATTGCATGGTCGTCTTTTTACGATAATTAGTATTTCTAAAGTGACATAATTAGTTGCCACATTATAAATTACTTAATTTCTGGTAGGAAATTTAGATATTTCTGTTATAGGCAGTGAGATTAATTTTCCAGACTGGTCCTATGTTTCTAACAAGTTTAATACCGCTTAGTTCTGAAATCAACTTGCTTTGAAACGGCGACGTTTATCTACGATTTTATATAATTAATTTGTTATTAATAACTTAACTATATTATTTTATCATATAATATAATATATTAAATTATATAATATTTGGTTGTGTTTATATTTTCACAATTTAAAGACATGAAAATTATTAAATATTGTTTGCAAAGTTTGAAACGTTACTTTTTCTTTAAAAAAGAATTTATCGACACATTTTAAAAATAAACACGCAAAAAATAAAGTGATATGATTGAAATTTGCGAATATTCAGGATCACGCCCGGATATCTACTCTATTTAGACATAAATCCTACAATCATCGTTCTAATTTTGTAAAAGTTAATTCAGAAAAAATAATCTTTCTTCTACGTCTTTAACCTTTATGTGATATTCATGAATTAATAATATTCATTCACAATATTCAAAAATTTAGACAAAAAAATAAGTTTCAATGTGTCCGAAAATATTGAATTTTGTTTTACTTGCCAAAAATTCTAAACATCGTTGAATTTTAAGCTTGCTTTCGTTCAAACGTGGAAATATTCAACACATCGTTTGAACTCGTATCTCCACGTTGGCTGTCCCGAAACGCAAGTTTAGTCACAGTATATACCACAAATAGTAGTGTAAGTGGTATAGAACACGTTTGGAGAGTGAATTGCATGGGTCCAGCCGTTCGTAATTGTAACGGCGCCACTAGTCACGTTAGGTGGAGGTCAAGGTTAATAAACATAGACAGGTTGTCTGGTAACTTTACACCAATCAGCGTCGAGAATCTACCGGAGGGAATGACGTCACTAAGAATGCTACATTCAAATTCATTCACTTTACTCCTTGAAATGAACTCGAAAAGCAACAATGATTGTTGTTTATATTGCTATATTAATCTATGTATATCGAAAAAAAAAAATACGTTTGGACTTTTAATAACTGTTTATTTCATTCAATCTTTAAAAAATGTGGGAGATAAGTACCTGCAGAGTTACAGAGATCATAAAATATTATTGCAATTTTGAATTGAGGGTAATGCATGTAGTAGATTATTATAAATTCCTCCAAACAAGTAAACCATGCTGAAAAAGAAATTCAACTAAAGATTTATAATAATATATCAGAATTAGTAGTTTTCCCCTTAACTTCAATATATTTAAGGAACATCTGATTACATTACTGGATTATATAATAGAATATAAAAAATATTAAAACATAATTCCATTAAATAAATACCTAGTTGTACATAATTAACACTAAATTATAAAAATCAAAATCAGTGAATTAACACATTTTTACTGAACATTTAAATGACTATACCTACTTACCATCTTTTTTCAGCTTATAAACTAAAACACTAACAATATTTAACAACAAAATATATTCTCCAAACCACTTCTCCTATTTTGTTTTCAAACAATTCGTAAAATTGATCCCCTGGGTGACGTCACACGTCATATTTCATTCTGTCAATGTCATGAGTTACCATGCAACCTCCCTTTTACTAACCTTGGGTGGAGGTATGCCTTTGAATGTTTTAAATTTGCCGCTAAATGAAATTAGTTTCGGCCCGTCCACATTTAGCGCTAGAAACTCTCTCACAAATCTTTCTATGGGACTTTACCTTACTAAAGGACATCAAAAGTTAAAAAATCACTAGGGTTTTCCTTCCATAGACAGGAAAGAATATAGTCTACGAAGATATGACCATTTCGATAGTGGAGTACCAACAGAATGTAGAGCTTAACAGGGAATTTCTTTAATTGTTCACAGAAGACTAAGAAAGTTCATAACAACCTGGAAAGCCATAAGTGAAAGATTAATTAAAGTAAACAAGTGTCTTTACGGATATTAATTAACAATTACGGGTGTATACGCAATAAATAACGACGCACTAGCTAACGTAAAAGACGCCTTTTTTGAACAGCTTCACGAAGAAATATCGAAAATATGTCAATCGCGGGAAATAATATAAATGGGGGATATTAACAGTAGAGTAGGAAGAAAACATGCGGATGAAATAGTAGGGAAATACGGAGAAGACACCACGAACAACAATGGTGAAAGATTCATAGATTTATGCAACCAGAATCAACTCAGAATTTTAAATGGATACTTTCCACATAAATTGATACACAGCTGTACATAGATTCAGAAAACACGAAACATAAAATCAATAATCGATTATATTGTAACAATACAAAAAACTCGACTGAGAGTACAAGATGTAAAACTTCAAACATGCGGTAGCGATCGCTATTTATTACGTTCAAGAATACACTTCCCAATTCGAACACAACAGAGAGAAACACATATAGACATAAACAAGACAGAAATGATACAGGAACGAAGATACAACATTAGAAGCCTAGATGAAGAAAGTACCCAAGACTTATTCAAAAATAGATTCTACAAATTCCTGCCCCTAAGAATATTGACCAGTTATATGAACATATAAAAAACTGTTTAGGTACACAAAGCAGCATTTGAAGCAATGGGATACTACATAAAACCCAAGGTAAACAAGCCATACTGCTGGGATAAAGAAATAAAATGTAAAAGACAACTATACCAATGTTTTAGCTCTAAATCATTACAAGACAAAATAAAATATAAAGAAAAACAAGCAGAATTACCAAAGAAAATATCTAAAAAAAAAGAACGAGTCTTGGGAAAGAAACTGCCAACGAATAAATACTTATCTAGAAGGAACCAGAAGCACAGAAAGCTGGAAACTGATAAAAAATTGAGAGGGGAAAATAATAAAGAAGTAATACAGAGCATAAAACCTGAAGACTGGGAAGAGTATTTCAAAGAACTTTTGGTAGAGAATAAGGTCGAACTTCAAGAATATAGAAATCAAAACCCAGATAGAATTTCAATAGTCGGCTCGCCAATAAGATTACCAACAGAGGAAATTAAACATGTATGTATGTACAAGTAGTAGTAGTTCGATAAACCTGGCCCTTAAGAAAAAGGGGCATTAGGGGCAGAGACTGTTTTGCGTCACACTGGGCAAACTACACTGTATTGTAACGCTCGATCTATTTGTATTATATGTTTATGCCCCTAAATATACCAATACAATTTAAAGGGTTAAAATAAAACGCAATCATACATAAAGTAAACTTTTATTAGAAATTAATTAATTATATAACAAATATCACATAAACTAAATCAGTACAGCTACTGAAGAGTCTTGTGATACATTGCAATGGTTATTTAAAATACTCAATTAAAAAATATGTACAAAAATCTAACTATTTTTATATAAAAAAAAATTATATTCGTTCTGACAGGATACTCTCAATATAACAGTAAAAAACGAGTTTTTCATTAAGTGATCTCTTCAATCAGTGATCAATCAATTGTGAAAGATGTCAAATTTACAATGTCACAGTTAACTCGAAAGGTTATGTGATCAATTTAGGTGAATAATTTATGAAAGGAAACTGAAAAAAACTTAAAACAAAAATATATATACTAAAAAATAGTATACTAATGACTAAACTGAAATGATTCTATATAAATTGAAACAAAATGCTTTGCAAATAGCATATTCCCATTATTTAGAATCAAAACTTAAAGCTAACTTCATAGCAAGTGCCATCATGACGTCACACTAATATGACATATTTTAAATTTTGTTTATATTACAAGGTGTTTATACATATATTAGATGGCATTATGTTATATACCAAGATTGTTTTAATCTGAAATTTAACTTTTGTGTATTTAACACAATTCCTACTTTATAATATTTCTTTCTTAATGTAAGAAAACAATTTTTTAAAATTCAAATACGGCAACTGTCAAAAAATAAATAAATCAATACACGCAAAAGAAATTAATAAACAAAAATATGGAAAGGATGAAAAATCATCATTTAGATATCCATTACCATAGGAAACCAATGCTTTTACATAAACATTTCGCCTTCATGGCAAATATTTTTCAATCTGCGCGTCTTCGACTCGTCATCAAACATTTTGAATAAAAAAAGCTTTGTCCGTCTTCCCTATGCTCCTTAAAACACTCTATCTTGGTACCCGCTGTCTTGCACTGTCGAAGGCGCCGGTCTAGGCATCGAATGATGGCGCATCTGCGTAGCTCTTCTGGGAGGTGCCAGAAACTCGAACATGCTCTGCGTGTGATTGGCCAACATCTTTCCGAGATCGCAGGGCATCGGATCGGTCCAAAAGAAGTCGTGGTTCAGTGCCGTGTCGGAATCGGCTCTCTTCGATGGATCGAGGACGAGTAGTTTGTCTAGAAGGTCGCAGGCGTAGGGGTCTTTTAGGTATGGTGTTAGGCGTTCTTTTACCTAAAAATAAATTCATCAATAAAATATCTACTATATTGATTTTACTAGTTCACGAAAAGGAACTCAAAAAGCGATAGAAAAAGTACTTCGATAGTGTATTAAATGAAGAATTAGACAGAAAACCAGTTGAGAAAGTAACAGCATTGGTCACCAAAATAACAAACAAGGTATGCCTGGAGAAAAAGGGATGTAAGGTTTACTCTGAACCGATCAATTTAAAATTAGGTATACCACAGGGGAATGTTCTGGAGCCTTTTCTCTTTTTGGTCTACACAAACGACCTTCCAAATGCGGTGGTTAATAGTTCCTCAAACCTAGTAAATTTCGCTGATGACTCAAATGTGCTTTTCTGGGAAAAACATTAGCAACACAGTGGCAGAGCAAATTCTAAGCAAGGCTGAACAGTGGTTCAGTCGAAATTGGTTGATACTTAATACTGATAAGACAGTTTTTGTTTACTTTAGAACCAGCCAGTCACAAGAACAGTTTCCAGATACAATCAATTTTCTATCACAAAACAAGGAACCTGCTAGATCAGTTAAATTTCTTAGTATTCATATTCACCAGAATCAGAATTGGGGGGAACAAATACAAAATACAACAAAAAAAACTGAATAGAGCCTGCTACTTAGGAGTGTTAAAGAGCTATCTGGACCAAGGGATTTTACTATCCGTATATTATGCAAACTTTTATTCTGTTATGCGATATGCAGTAATATTCTGGAGTGCTGCAGTAGATAGCTCGACTGTCTTTATAGTCCAAAAAAAGGTAGTCCAGGTGATCTTAGGACTAAAGGCGGGAGAATCCTGTAGAGGCCGATTCAAATCACTCAATATACTCACTTGCTCAGCCATCTATATATTAGAATGTATTATGTTCCTTTTTAAAAATTGTACTTTGTTTTATCACCTGCTTCCCAATCATGAATATAATACAAGAATCCGTAATTGGAATTTGCCACTTCACAGATTGTTTATAACAGAGAGAAGTCCTTTGTATGCATGTGTTAAATTTTATAATAGTCTACTATCTGACATTCAACAGGAAACAGACTATAGAGCTTTTAAAAGAAAGGTTTTTCAACATCTAGTTAAAATTGAGCCCTATACTGTAGCGGAGTGCCTGGCCTATCCTTCTCCCTGATCAGCATATTTAATTTGTAATGTCAATGTATTTTAATATACTACTACTATTTTAATGTTATACTAATATAATTTCTTACTTGGGCCACAGGGCAACTATGTCATTTTACAAAAATTATACAACTGTTTATGAACTAGAGTTTTATACAAATTTATAATAAAATACTTGTACATACCTTCCTTTTTTGTTTATGGGGCAGTTCCATTTTCTTAAAAAGTTCTAAATGTTCAACTCCAGGCCACACTTGAGGAGTTATTGATCCACAGAGTTGGGATATTAGCGTAAGTTGTTGTTGCTCACTATTACCCTGCATAATGGGAGACCTCGTCCACATCTCTGCCATTATACAACCTGCCCCCCAGAGATCTACCGGTGGGCCATAGTTTCTCTCACCTAATAATAACTCTGGTGGTCGGTACCAGAGTGTTACCACTCGATTTGTGAACCTAAAAATACAAAATGGTTAAGATGTTGATACATACATTGTAGATACTATTGAAGTAAATAAAATAAGTAAATTAATATGTTCGATATCTACTGGATCAATACTGTGTGATACTTTGTTCCTACCCAGAATTTGATAAAAAAAAATTATTTTTTTATTCAAAACACCACAATACTTTCCACAATACTCATTGTAAGAGCAAGAGACTTATTTATTTCTACCGTAAATAACTCATAACAATATACATGATGATTTAGGTAAATTTTAAATCATTTCCTTGTTAAGAGAACTTAATCTACACCGTATCTGAACGGTTGTAGTAGGTACATGTATTGGTAGTAACTTTGTAAAATTTTAAAACACATTTGGCAGCAATTGATTTCAGACAGTCAGTTGAAACTCTAGGTATACCCATGGTATTGTGAAAGATGTAATAAGATGGATCAACGAAAGGACTGTGACAACGAAAGTGACCTTTTGTGCCAAAATCTTATATGTCTTACTCTAAATAAGTAAATATCTTACCTATTGGGTAGTCCATTTTTCGTACTACTAAATGCCCTCGCTAATCCAAAATCGGCTAATTTCAACACTCCATTCTTCGTTATTAACACATTAGCTGCTTTCATATCCCTATGAAGTATTTTGTTGCTATGAATATAATATAGTCCGTTCAGAAGCTGTTGCACTACTTTTTTAATTTCACCCAAACTAAACTTAACATTAGAATTCGATAGTAAACCCGCCAAATCGTGTTCACAAAAGTCAAAAACTAGGTAAAAAGTCGACCGATATCTGTTGTGTTGTGACGCTTGAGTCCTACATATTTCTATAAGATTCACTACGTTTTCATGTTTCAGAAGTTGAAGTATCCTAATTTCACGAAGAGCAGTAATTGGAAACTGAAACAAATATAAATTGAAGGTATTAGAACAAAAATATCCAGATAGTTTGAATATAAGAACCTTGTGCCTTATCCTCATGATTAAATATGAACAGTTTACATTGTGTAATTTGTTTTAAAGTTTGTTTTGTTAAACATAAGCCTAATTTTAATATGCTCAATGACACAAAGCTTCCTCGAGATCATAAACATTCCAAATTTCAAGTTTATTTCCATAAAAAATAAATTGTAACTAGGTTTTTTTGCTTGACCATCTCAGATGAGAATAAAGCTTCATAAAAATCCATACTCCCATAATTGCGCACCAAAATAATCGAATTTAAAAATCCTGATAAATTTAAAATCAAAATATATAAATTATACTATACTCACCCCTTCTTTTCATTGTCCATAAGAACTTTTTTCATAGCTACAAACTTTTTAGGATTGCTCTTGTCCCGTGCTTTAAATACTTCCCTAAAATTTAATATATGTTTGCATTATATTTGTATCATATTTTACTTCAAGGCATAAAAATGTAAATAACTACCACACTATGCTTATGGTTTCCTTACGGTTCAAATTCACACTACATTTGCCTTGAACCAAATGGAGACATCAATATAAATTCAAGTTCAGATATTTTACAAAAATGAAAACATACATGTGATAAATAATATCAAAAATCAAAACTTAAAAGTTTCTGGGTCATGTATTTTTATATAAAAGTCAATAAAACCTTTTTGTCAGATAATGATTTATAGGAAAAAATTGGTACCAGTGTAGTAAAAGGGTAGGACCTATATGAATCTGTTAATCTCATAAACAATCAACAAGATACAATGTCTATATCACCCATTAAATAAACCTAAAATTACAATTCACTATATTTTGTCTTATAATGTGAATTGAAGGCTTTTCTGTCCTTATTATAAACACTTAAATACGTGCATTGAACTCCTTAAAACATTAACTAACTCATCAATAAACTATTGATTTTGTTATTATTGAATACTAATTGCGCCACATTGCGAAAGTTTACTTACGAAATTAGACCTACTTACCCAAAAGTTCCTTGGCCTATTTTAGCAACTTTTTCGTATTTACCCGTCAAATCACAATAGGGAAAGTTAAAATCCTCGATATATCTTTCTTTATCACGCATATTCATCACCGTAGAATGGGGGTGACTACTAGAGCTAGAATGGTTGCTCTCACGGTCTCTGTTGTTGTTCTGCATGGTGGTATATTTTTGCTGTTACAAATTCAGATTGCTGCTATAACTGGAAGTTATGGAATTGTTTATAAATACTCATGTTCTTGGAGAAACCAAAAAAATTTCACTTTTTCACAACATTTAACATAACCAATATTCTAAATGTCAATGTCACATAACATTATTTGACAAATGTCAATGTCATAGACGTCGATATAATTTTTTTATTATACATCCCCCGAGTTGGCATATATTTATTATTTATTAAAATACACATATTTTTGTTTTAATTTAATCAACGATAGATGAACTTTCATAGGAATTTAAAATTATTAGTAGTAAGTTTCACTAAGTTTATTTTGAAAAAATATATTTATTCATCGCCTCCTACACTCCAAGGGGTTGTGATTTATTATAAACGATTTATAACTTTCAGAGAAAAAGAATTTGTCAACGAATGTGGTGAAATTCTAAAAAGGCCAGTTTAATAGGACTATTTATAGTTTTTATTGGGAGAATCGAAAAAGGTCATTTTATTTTGTAGGTTTTGCATAACAGTCAGATATTGTACCTGGTCATAATGCTGATTTAATATTAGGATTTTCATTTCGCTTGTTGAAACTTCATCTGATATTAATTTCTTGGAAATATTTATAAGGCTGAGAGTACTAAATCTGAATACTTGAGTATTGTTGAAAAAAACTGAAATTGAAGGTACTACATAATCGAAGAGCTCAAAAAAATTAAACATTTCCGGGATTCTTTTTCCAGATCGTATTTTGTTTTCGAGATATATTTAAATTTGGGAATTTTTTATTATTTTTTCCACTTTTTTCATGTTCTTTTTTAATTTAATTTCAGTGTATAGATGGATGGATGCACAAGTATGCCAGTCAATATATATAGAAAGAAGAAGAAGAGGTAGAAGCGGGAAAAGGGAAAATATGACATTGAGTTAAAATCTATCTACTCTACCTTTTTGCATGTATCAACATGTTTACATGTATGTAATTTTACGTAAATGAATCAATCAATGATGTTCATTGTATATAAAACAAAACATTCAATGTATTGTGATTGCCATTCGTCTCACTAGATTAATGTTTTATTGTTACTGTTCTTAACTTAGTACATTTAAATACTAAACGGTGCTAAAAACCGGTGATTTAAGCAGTGTTCCGATATTAATCGGGCTTAAAATATAATACACACATACCTAACTATTATCCCTAGTTTGTTATAATTGTACACTTGTATCGTAAGTATATAATTCAATTTAATTTTTAATAGTCCTATATTCATAGATGAAATTTTTATGTTTATCGAGTTTCCTCAGACTTTTTTCCGGTTTTTCATAATATGAGAATAGTAGAATTGTGGCATTTCTGGAAAGTATACTAGTCAGCTTTCTCTATATTTAGTCTCAAGCTGAAATTTCCTGATATATTCATTCCTGACAATATCAATTCCAGCCATTTTTTACACTAGGAGCACATTTTACTGCTTTATCCTTCATTTAGTAGTGTAGTATACTGTGGTATAATACTTGGATATGAAAAAATTCTATATTATATTAAAGCTTTGAGACTTCTACAGATCTTATCTAAAAAACCCTAATCAAAAGGTTATTATTTGATTTGTTTGCTTACTATCTTTCTATAATATTGAAGAGCTTGATTTAGATATGTTAAACTAAATTGTATTTTTTTCAGATATCCATCAAAATGGCTTTGTTACATAGTTTACAAATTTGTGGCATTAGAAACTTCAGCCCAGATAGCCACCAAACCCTGTATTTTAACACCCCTGTGGTCCTTTTTCAAGGACCCAATGGTTCAGGAAAAACCACAATTTTGGAATCCATCCGGTATGCACTAACTGGAGAATTGCCAGGTGGTACCACTAGTGGAAAGGGTTTTGTTAACGAACCAAAAATGTCAAATAAAAATTCAACAAAAGGAAATATCAAGATCAAGTTTTCAGATGCAGAAGGAAACATCATAACGGTTAATAAAGTTGTGCAGGTATGATGTACTATCTTTTCAGATAAATATACAGGCACTTAAATACATAAATTTGCCCTTGGTAGATGAAAATACCTAAAATTTAATTTTAGTGATGTGAATTCCTAAAATCATCTAATGGCTAGTAATTATTGTTATTGCAATTTATTTTGCAGGTCCAAATGAATAATAAAGGTGAGCTCACTTTTAAAAAGCTTACTCCTACTATTCGCAAGAGACTAAAAGATGATCTATCGAATGTCCAGGATGTAAGTGGGCGTTGTGCTGATGTTGACAGTTTCTGTTGCACTTCCATCAATGTCTCCAAGTCAATATTTAATAATGTCCTCTTCTGCCACCAAGAAAACTCATTGTGGCCTTTGGATGAACCTAAAAAGCTTAAAGAAAAGTTTGACGAAATTTTTGATGCTGTCAGGTACAATAAATGCATTGATCACATTCGAAAGCAAATAAAAGATCAACAAGTAAGTCATTTTCTTTATTTTATATATCAGCTTGGAAGCATAAAGGTGAACTGCAAAAATGTGTTTCTGGAAAACTGAGTATAAAGTTTAAAAACATGTTAGAATAGTAAGGGCGAACACATTTTATTTTATTAACAAAACTTAAAAGAGGGTAAGTTCTGAAGCTGTATATTTGAGGCATGTTTGATGATGGTATAATTTTATTGGATTTAGCGACAGTTTAGATTCTATCACAGGCTGTTCTTCAGGATGTGTGTTTCTTAGCCATTTCATATAAGCTCCATATACTCCAGTAATTGACGAACCCGGTGGCATATATTTTCGAAAAGGACTTTTGACTTTGCGCTATAGTGACTGGAAATGCTAACAAGTGAATCAATGTGATCTCTGACCAACTGCTTTCTATATCCAACCATTTTATTTCCTGGCATTTTCACCTAGCACAGTTCCTGTGGTGGTCTACTTGTCTAAAACAATGCGAACTCTTTTTTCGCTTATGCTATGGATGCTAATAAAAGCCTTACCACAAACACATTTTCTTTCTCCATTTATTGAAACACTATATTCTATGGTCCGAAGCTTCCTACTACCTTTGTTAGTAAATAAAGACTTTTTACAATCATTCCTCTCTCTCTTCAATCCTGACCCCCCAGGGGGAGGGTTGACGTGATGTCGTGTATTGTCCATCTCCAGAGATCTCTGTCTCTGGTCATTTCTTTTAATTCATGCATAGGTCTTTGGCATATTCCTGTAATTTGATCTATCCATCTTGTTGGGGATCTTCGGCCTTCTACCTTTCTTTGTATTATGAGTCTTTCCATGTTTTCTGTGTTTGCTCTCATAACATGCCCAAAATATTTTAATTGTTGGAGATGGACTTTACTAGAGAGTCGTTGGCTAACTTTTAGCTCTCTTAAAATTGAATTATTTGTTCTGTGGTCGGTCCAAGGAATTCGTAACATTCGTTTCCAACAGAACATTTCAGTGGCGTCTATCTTTCTTCTCTCCGATTGTTTCAAAGTCCAAGATTCGGTTATAAGCGTAATTAGATGTTGTGGTACGCCTAATCTTTAAAACAGATGTATAGTGGGATGTTGAATTCCCTAGATTTCTCGATTATCTGTCTTATATTCAGCAGGTGTTCTCGAGTGCCTCTACCTTTGGTAAATCCAGTTTGCTCTTGTGGAATTTCTCTTTGAAGGAATGTTTTCAGTCTCTCATTGATTATATGTAGCATTATCTTGCTGCCATGGGATATAAGAGAGATAGTTCTATAATTGTCGCATTTATGGAAGCTGCCTTTTTTATGTATGGTCATTATTGTAGATTTTGTCCAGTCTTCAGGCCATTAGTTTGGAATGCCATATTTGGTTACAGAGTAGATGAAGTAACTTTACTTTACAATCATTCCAACTTATCACTTTTAAAACGTATTGGTTTATGATTATCGTAGTTGCCAATTTCCAAAAGTTATTGAAAATCATAATGATATTGTCCATGCCCATGTTTTGACTTTTCAAAACACATTTTTCGACACTTACATGGCAGTCTGATTGTGCGTGCAGATACAGTTTTTTTGTATTTCTTGAAACATATGCTTCACCATAGTTTCATTTGGTTTTACATATGTTAACAAGCCATTGTTAACTAAATAAATCAGAAAAAAAGAAAACAACTTTAAGGCTAATGTAATGTCATTCTTGAAATACAAGTAATTAAAACTACAACAAGCACACAATGGTACCCAAAAACTCAAGAACAAAGCATATATTATTTCTTACAGAATTTTAGGAATATAAATTGCGAAACATACACATAATATACACAAGGATTCTTTAAAGTTTTGTGAGAAAGATGAGACTGTTTTTGAAACATCCACTTTGCGAGTTCGCCCTTACTCTTCCAAGCTCCTGATACGCTCCTAAGGTCTGTTTCTTGAGTACTAGCTTTATATGTAGCTTCTTACATTGTACCTCTCCTCCAGTAATTTCTATAACAATTTATTAACAATAATAAAAATATTTGAAGTACTTACATTTCTTCAATTGTTATTAAAATTACTTAAAACTAATCTTTGTTGATGGAAAACAGGGAACTATAAGAATGTGTGACAAGGAACTAGAAGTAAGGAAAGAAAAGAAAGAAGAGGTGGACAAGAAACGTGCCAAACTCGAGGATAAAAGGGATAAATTAAAGCAAATTCAAAATAGCATAGAAGAGAAGATTAATGAAATGAAACCTTTAGATGAAAGAATGAAAAAAATTTTGGAACTGGAGGAATCGCTGGGTGCACTCCAAAGAAAATATACTGGGAAGGAAGAAGAAAAGAAAGGTAAGTATTTATCTCTATTTTTAATTTTACACTTTATTGTTTTCTCCTGAGAATTAGGGTGCCTTCTCCATTACTGAAGGTTGGCAAATTGCTCTCTATCTTGAGCTGTTATCGAATGAGTGTGAGTATCGAATGTGTGTCCATGCCTGTCCAGTCTCTTACATTCTTCAACAAGGAGCATTTTTTTCTTCGGACCTCTTCTTCCTTCCATTTTCCCTTCCATTATAAGTCATAGGAAGTTGTATTTTTCTCCTCTGTAAATATGTCCTAGATAACTCGTTTCTCTGTTTTTTACAATATTAATTAAGACCATATTTCATAAAATATGAATTGCATTTACATTTATTTTTAGGTCTGGTGAACCAGCAGAAGTTGCTGTGCAAAGACATATCGTATGTATTTGAAGGAACTGATGAAGAACTGCAGTCAAAAATAACGTCTTTTAAAGATGAACAATCAATTGAGGAAAGTGCTATCAAGAAATTGGAAATGAGCATTAGAAGTCTCAATAAGGAAATAGATTCTGCAAATCGAAACATACAAAATAAACAAGTTCAAATTGGTCAGATGAAAGAGCAGCAAAACCAATACAATGAAAAGAAAGAAAAGAGTAACAACCTTATAGATAATTTACGGACAGAACTTGAGGTGGAAGATTTTGGAGACCAAGAAATATTACTAGGAGAGCTTAGTAATGCCTTAAAAACAGTGGAAAGTCGATTCAATGAGCTAAAAAAGGAAAAAGATGCTGAAGAAAATGAGCTACAATCACAAATAGACACCCTAAGGGAGAAAAATGCCAAAACTGAACAAATGATTGCTTCGAAAACTGGTTCTATCAAAGAAAATGAGGCCAAATTAAAGGAAATTCAGTGCAAGTTGGAAGAACTGGATTCTTCTGATTCACAGTTGAGAAATATAACTGGGAAAATCGAGTCTCTTCAATCAGATCTCTCTAAAATAAAAACTTCTTTTGATGAGAACAAAAAGTTGCGGGAAATTCAGGAGTTAAAAGACCAAATTGAGACCAAAGAGCAATACCTTGAAAAATTAGAACGAGAAAACCGAATTCTGCAAAGAAACTATGCGACTGAGCAGAATATAGAAACTCAACGTAATATGATATTGGAAAAACAAGGTCAGATCAGTAGGATCAAAACCAAACATTCTAGTCATTTCTCGAAACTTTTCAGTGATGCCTTTCCAGAGAAAGACTTAAAAAGATCTGTATTAAACATTCAAAATACACAAGAGGTTGAATTGAAGAAAGTCAGTACTTCAATCAGTAGCTTGGATAAACAAATAACATCTGTGGAAACTACATTGAAGCATTCGAGAGATCAACTCAAAATACGCCAGCAAGGTAAGTGTTTAGATTCTGTATAGAAGTTGTATTTTTTTATTAATTTTTATGAAATTTTGAAATTTTTGAGGCATGTTTAACTCATTATGTTTTTCGGTCAATAAGTCCCAAGCCAAACCATGAGATGGTGATTCTAATTTCTTTTAGTTAATTTCTGTTGTAAAAAGCTTGTTACGTTTAAAGTTCTGTATAATCTTTGACAATAGATTTATCGAGATGATTTTTTTACGAAAATCTAAGAAAGGATGAAGTTATCTCAACATAATAAAATGTAGCGTTTTTTCCAATAAACTGTGATGAAAAAACAAAACTTTATTTAAGCAGCAGTGAGATCTACAAATACCGCCCCTATCTGGTGTCTTTCGTACCCGTCTTCGATTTGCTTGGTAAGAATTCGTATCGTCAAACGATTTAATCCCATATAAATACAATATTTAACTTAACATAAACATGCCACAAGAAAACAGTAGTATCAGCATCTCTCTACCTATAAAATACTCTCTGAAATTCTAATAACGATTCAAATTCTTCTTTTGTACATCATGAGCTCTAATATTTATTAATGCCTTTAGAGTTATCAACGAAGAAACAAAAAGTGGCAGAATTGTGTAAAGGTCGAGACTTCAATACCGTCCTCGCGGAAACTTACAAGAAGAAAGAGAAGCTTCAAAAAGACAAAGGACACTACACGGCCGCAGAAATAATGTACAAAGCCTTTATCGATAAATTCGAAGAAAAGAGCTGTTGCCCAGTTTGCAAGACGGACTTCAAAGACAATCGAACCGCCATTCCGGATATAATTCGCGAACTCAAGGGAAAGATCGAGCAAATTCCGTCTGGATTGGTGAAAGTCGAAGGCGAGTTGAAGAAAGAAGAAGTCTTTTATAATAAGCTCCAACAGTTGAAAACCATCAATGATGTCATACAAAATCTGACCAACGAGGAGATTCCCGAGTTAGAGAAGAAGATTGGTACATTAGACGAGGAATTTACAGAAAAGTCCATGAGTTTAGCAGGTATGACAATATTTGCTGTTTATCCTTATTATTACATCTCTGTATAATATTAATAAACTAAATTAACACGTTGCTGGACGATTAAGGGGGGTGGTAGGGTTAATTTTCAATGTAAACATTTGTTTAAGAGCTTTTTTTTGAAAAATTGTTTAATATAATTTATTTACAACATTAGTACATTACAGTACAACATTTCAAGAGTATTTTCTGAAATTTTAGTACAACAATATTCAAAATTGAGCCAATAACAGCAAATTTTCCAGGATGCAAAAAGAGCAGGTCACTTTGTAGTGTTCATCGTAGCTTATAACTGGATCATGTGTTGACGATTTATCAAAAAGATTTCGTTAGTTTATGATTTTCCCCTCGTCCCTAAGTCACAACGTTCAGATATTGATTTATTGTTTTTTTCAAATATCATAATCATTGGTGCTACAGCCCTAAATGCTAAAGCAGCCTCGATCTTCCCAAGTCTATTACACCAGTCAGTTCTATCCATTGCCAACTGTTGACAGTTTGCTGCGCTTATTTTTCTACCATTCTCATGTACACCATCCAGTGGCGGCTCGTGACATCTGCTATAGGGTGTGCTGCATGAACCACGGTCAATATAAAATAATAGAAATAGAATAACATACGAAAACAAAAACAATAAAATTAGCTTTAATACTAATTAATAGTAACTAATAACGACATGCTATAAAAATCTGATTAACTTACATTTATTGCATTTTTCTAAATTGGAAATTAATACGCCGGTCCTTTTTTGTCGCAAACTTTTCGATTACTTTATCGTTAAAGTTCGGTATTGAAGCGATGAACTTTTTTTCTATCGAGAGTGTGGAAAGGGCTGTTAATCTGTCTTCGCACATTGAATTTCTTAAAAATGTTTTGATCCGTTTTAAAGTTGAAAAACTACGTTCAGCTTCTGCTGTGGTCATTGGCGTAGTCACCAGAATTTGTATCAACTTTTTGGTTTCTGTTAATGTGTCCTCTAAATTATTAGAAATTATAAATTTTAGTAAAGGCACTGCACCTTTTAATGTTCTACACTCGATATTGGAATACAAAACTGACAGTTCTGTTCGCAAACGGTTTTTATCAAAGAAGTTATAAGCTGTACAAGTTAAATCCAATTCATTTTCAGGAAACTTATTATTATATTTTTCGAAATGTTCTGAAGATAAAAGTGTTGCGGCAACTAGATGATTTGTATATGCAAACCGTTCTTTTGCATTGTTTATAATAACATCACAAACTTCTAGACAGGCAATACGGTGATCCTGTTGGCTGTTATTTGGGCGTTTCCTTTTTTGGACACTAGGCGCCGCATTTAAATTTGAAGCTTGATGTATGATAGGGTCTATTTTATTTCGGACATTGTTAATACTTTGCTCAAAAACATGTATAGCTTTCTGTGCTTCGGTTGGGTCCATGTTCTTTTTTTGAAGATTATTGTACAAAACGTCAACATGTGGCATAATATAATGAAAAACAGTCAGCCAGAAAGTAAAATTTTGATCTTCCAGAATACGTCTAAGTCCTCTTGCTTCCTTGGAAGTAATAGCATTTGACTCTTCTTCTAGTTGCTCCATACACTCAATAATAAAGTCTCTATATTCGTAAACGACATTTACTGTACGAATATTGAAATTCCAGCGTGTAGGGATTGAACGAGGAATATTTTTTCCAACTATTTGATTTAAGACAGCTATTCTTTGAGGTGAATGACTAAAAAATCCAGGTATATCATGTAAATCTCCAAAAAATACGCGTACTTGGGAATTAATAGAACATGCTCTTGACATTATTAGATTCAATTGATGGGCGTAACAGTGCACAAAATGAGCAGTTTCATATTTTCTCTTAATTATTGTTTGCACTCCGCCATGTATCCCACTCATAACAGCTGCTCCGTCATAACTTTGTGCAATGAGCTTATTTTTGTTATTCTTTAATATTGGGTCTAAAACATTCAAAATTGTGTTAGCTAAGGTTTCAGCATCATGTTTTTCTGGAAGCAAAAAAGTCCAAAACCTTTCAACTGGAGCACCGTTTTTTACATAACGAAAAACAATGACCATTTGAAATTTCATAGAAACATCCGTTGTCTCATCAGCTATCACTGCTAAAAATGGGGCTTCATTGATTTCGTTTAAAATCTCCTCAGCGTATACTTCTAGCATGCAATCCAAAATATCATTTTGTATTGTTTTTGAGGTACCTTTGAAAATTGTCGCATTTGTAAGGTGTTCACTAAGTGTTTTATCAAGTTCAGCAGAAAAATTCACTAAACCACGAAAAATTCCAGGGTTATCTGATGTTTCAGATTCATCGTGTCCTCGTAAGGCGAGCTCAAAAGCCCCACAGAATTTTATACAGTCAATTATTTTTGACAAAACATACCTGTTTTTCGTCACCTCTTCATTGTGTTTTTGTATATTTATCCAATAAGCAGAGTCAAGTTGGGCCTGTATATTAAGTTTCCCAAATAATGCAAATCGCATTTCATTGTTCATATGAGTTTGCGTGTTTTCATGCTTCTTTATTTTTTCACTTAAATGCACTAGATCCCGCACTCCTGTCTCGCGCCACAATTTTTCCTCTTTATCTGCGCCGAATAATGCACACGGAAAACAGAAAAAAGCATTTTTTTCGGAACATCCACAAATCCACTGATTTCGTAGATACATGTCTTTATTAAATTTACGCGTATATGTTTTTCCACGGCTTTTACCGGACACTTCAATATTAAGATCAGGCATAGGACGGCCACGTTCTTTTATAATCAACTGTTGTTGATAGTGAAGTTTTTGAAATTTATTTACACCTAATTTAAATTGAAACTCCATTGTTTTAAACACGCTCGAACAAAACAAATTAAACAAAATTGTAACCTAAGAATTTCTAAACACGGCACAGATGCAACGGTCACGAATAACTGTCGTGAATTGCAGCTCGCAAACACATTTCCGAGGCCGTTAATCAGCCGATTGCCGAAGCACATCGGCTAAGATCGCCGTTTGCCTAATAAATGCATTTTACCGCTGCCAGTGTTTCGGTTGTTATCGACGCGGCTTCACTGGAGCAGCAAATACGTAAAAAGATTGCTTCACTGGAGCACCAAATACGTAAAAAAATTATACGGTTTCACTAGAGGAGTAAATACGTAAAAAAAATAATATTAATCATCGTTGTTGGTGAATTATTATTAACAGTTTATGTTTAATATGATAATATGGCAGATTTGAAATAAAACTATATTAATTATTCTTTAATAATTAAGATTTGCTATGGTTGTTTGGTAGTTCTGCAGCTCAGCAGCACATAAAGAAAAGCCGCCACTGACACCATCCTTCCACCTGAGTTTTGGCCTACCCCTACTTCTACTTCCCACAGGTTGTGACATAGGCAATTACATAGGCTACTCTTGTGGATATGCTTCTTATAATTATTATGTTATCTTCAAGTCTTTTGTGTATAAAGAAACCGACCCCCTCGATTGATTCGGTTTCACTACCTATACTGTAAAATGTGTGCCCTGATTTTAGTGTTGTCAGGTTTTCTCCATGTCGCCTTCACTGACTCCAATGACTCCATTTTACTTTTGACATCTCGTATAATGTTCTGGCATTGTTAGGTACAGGTAAAGAGTGTTAAAGGTTTTTTCGTCTTTCGCGTCGTCAGTTTTTTCTGACACTCTTATAAATCGTATGCAACAAGTTACACTGAGATTCATCCAACTGTAAAAATTTAAAGGTTTATTATTTCATTGCCTGGTCTAACAATTAAAATAAAAAAAAACATTTTTAGAGCTTAAGCAACAACAGGAACAACCACAACAGACAATTGAAATTTGCAAAACTATTATAACGGATGCTACGTTATTCGATCAGTACAATACCGACATCCGCAATGCCAATTCTACTATACAAGACTTAGAAGAAAGTATTGAGCGGGTGCCTTCGAACCGATCCAGGCTGGAAACTGAAAGCGAGATCGACGCAGTAAAAGGCCAACTTAGCAATGCCAAAAACGGGTAAGAAATTCTAACAGTTTTCCTCAAATAAGTTGATAACATCATACTATTTTTTTTTAGATATGAAACCAACAAAAATATGTTAGAATCGCATAGGGAGAGGTACCAAGAGCTGAATAAGAAAATTCAAAATGAAGTTCAAAGACAACTCGACATTCAAAAGCTAGTCCAAGAGAAACCTCTTTTAGAATCACAAAATACAGAGATTAATGAAAAATTGGTCGTATTAAAAATAGAAGTGGAGGAACTGAAAGTAAATATATCTTCTCATAAGCAAGAGCTAAAGGAAGCTATAGAGGCTAAAAGAAAGGCCACCATAACGAATAATCAAATAAAAGAAACAGCTAGGAAGAACCTCAATTCACATCAGAATAGTTTAACTGAAATCCAGAAACTGCTTAAGCTCATTCACGAATACGAAAAAAATCAAAGTAAAGATAAATTACAGAAAGCTGTAGAAGAATTAGCTGAGCTTAAGGTTTCTTTGGAAACCCTCGAACAGACTAAGACTACAAATTTGGAATCCGTCTCCGAAAAGAAAGAATCGATCGCCAAAAGGGATAGTGACTTTAGAGCACTAAAAGATAATGTGACGCTGAGGAAAATACAAAATAAACAAGCCATAGTCGAGGCGGAAGTTGAAGAGTTGAGACAGAAAATCGAAGGCGCTAATTACCAACAAGTTTATGAAGAGAAACAGAGAAAAATGGATGAAATCAATAAGAAGCAACGGGAGAAAAATAACCTTATCGGTCAGCAGGAAGAGGTACAGACTCAAATCGACGAGTTATCGGAAGAATTGAGCAAAGCCGACAATAGAAATGCCCACAAACTTCATAAAAAAGCTTATTATGATTTAACGCTTAACAAGCTAGCCGTAGAAGATTTGACAAAGTATGTCAATGTTTTAGAAAAATCCGTACTGAAATTCCATGAAGAAAGGATGGTGCAAATTAATACCACCATTAGAAAATTGTGGAGAACCATATATCGGTAAGTTTCAGCATTATATAAACATATTTTATAATATCTGGTGCTCCAAGTTTGCAACTTCTTAATATCATCCGCCCATCTCATTTGTGGTCTTCCTAATTCTCCTTCTCTTTGCTAACCGTGGTCTCCATCATTGTATTTCACCCAGGGGGCGTGGTCTAAGTGACTGTCACTCTAGACCACGCCCCCTGGTGACATAGGAACGTCCCTCGTATCGCAAGGCCACGGCCTCGGCCAATGGTGACGTAGGTACGCCCCTCATGTCTCTAGGTCACGCCCCCAAGTACTACGCCACGAGGGACGTTCCTATGTCACCAGGGGGCGTGGCCTGGAGTGTCAGATCACTTCCGCTTCAGAACGAACTTGTAACATCTACTTATTCGATGAGTTTATTTGCTGTATAAAACGTTTCCAAGATAACTTAAAATTTGAATTAAAAGTTCATAATTAATGGTTAACAATATATTTTTCAGAGGTAATGACATCGACTATATCGAAATCAAAACGGACGATACTCTGGCGGCTGGAAAACGTAGATCCTACAACTATAAGGTTGTGCAAGTAAAAAATAGTATAGAACTTGACATGCGTGGAAGATGCAGTGCTGGACAAAAGGTAAAACCTATAGATATTCCCATTTTTTTATTTTTAGAGTATAAATATGACAAGTAGGGCTGTTTTCTTGCGTAACCAATTTTAAATGTCGCAGATAGAACTTTTACTACCAACTCTATGCCTTTCCTTAATATTTTGTACTACAATTAACTTATTTCTCGAAAATCCGCAGCACATCATCCACTTTGACGTTGAAATTTTCTCACAGCGTTGCCGTATTGTCTTAATAGTAGAGAATGTAGGGAATTACGAAATAAGTATGATTTTTCAGTTTATTAGCTACAGAGAAATTTTAAGAAAATTTTCTTATCGATAATTTTACCTAGACCAATTGTACAATCCACATACGGCAAAAACTTTACAATACTACAAAATACATTTTACATTATTTGACAATATTATTGTTTTGATGTAAGTTTTCCATAGCTACCTCTGGATTTAACGTAATTATGAAAAATCAACGTATGTTGACATAAGTGAATGCATAGCCAGGGTTTAGTGAATTTTTTTTATTGTTGAAAGTAAATAAAAAACCATAAGGGTAATGGTTTTAATAAATATGAATAAAAATACCATATTAATTCATATGGGAACTTATAAAAATATGCAGAGGATAATTTGTTTATGGTGATCGACTTGTTCAATTAGTTTGTCATTTACTAATATGTTTATGTTTAGAGTTTCTTTCATAATTACTAATTATTAGATGTTATTAACAATTCTTCTATTGACTTCTTGTGCCTTATTCAATGGAAATATCTCCTCTGATACAAGTTGAATAATAATGGCGAGAGTACACGACCTTGTCTAACGCCATTGGAATTTATGGGCACTCTTTTTGCAACGCACTTATGGGAGGAAACAAATATATTAAATTTTTTTCATTTTAAGGTACTGGCATGTTTGGTGATTCGTATGGCACTGGCAGAAACCTTTAGCTCTCATTGTGGCATTTTGGCTTTGGACGAACCCACGACAAACTTGGACAAAGCAAATATTTCTAGTTTGAGCGATGCGTTATCGGAACTAATTACCAGCAGGGAGAACCAAACCAATTTCCAGCTTCTTATCATTACCCACGATGAGGAATTTCTGCGCAGCATAACGCAAGTACAGAGCCTTGACAGCTATTGGCAGGTCAAGCGAAACCATAAAGGCTTTTCTACTGTTGACAAAGTGATGTTGTAGATTTAAGATTAAAGATTAATGAATGTGATTTACTCTTTAAGATTAAGTATACATAAGTGTTAATAAAATCGTTCTTTTTATAAATAAAGGTATCATTTTGCTTTTTTTTTTAATTCCTGCGTTTAATTTTCAACAACAGCAAGTATCCTGGGGTTTATAGAACATTCTGAGAATAAGATTGGAGATCTGACTTGTTTTGCTACAAAAGAATTCATTGCAAATTGGACGATTGGAAATAGTGATGTTTATGGGTAAAAATATAAGATAAGATAATTTAACCAACCAGGTTTTAGTGAAATGAAAAAATGAATTACAGCAAAACAAAAATACTGAGCCGATACAAATATAACAATACAAAATCATACCATAGAAAATGTTGAACATTATGTATATCTAGGTCATGTTATCAAACTAGGAAAACCAAATCAAGATGCTGAAATTAAAAGAACACAACTGGCATGGGGCGCTTTCGGCAAACTAGCACATCTTGAAAAACACCTCCATTCCTATAAACTTAAAGAAAAAGGTGTATAACACATGCATTCTACCAGTTTGTACTTATGGCTTGGAGACAGTAGCCCTTACCAAAAAATCTGCTAAAAAATTAGAAACAACGCAAAGAGCAATGGAAAGAATCACGCTTGGAATATCACTGAAAGACAAGATTATAAATACCGAGATAAGACGTAGAATGAAGATTAGGGATATTGTGGAAGAAATTACAAAAATGAAATGGCGCTGGGCAGGTGACGTAGCCCGATATAATGCTAACAGGTGGACACGGAGAATTCTAGAATGGAGACCAAGGACGACAACAAGAAGCATGGGAAGACCTCAAAAGATTAGATGACATAAGAGCAGTGGCAGGCAAGCAGTGGATTAGATTGGCGCAATATAGAGAAAGATGGAAGCAATTGGGAGAGGCCTACATTCAGGAGTGGATGGAAAATGGTTGGCAAAGAGAGAGAGAGGTTTAGAGAACAAGGTTCGAGAGAAAACTTGTTTTTGCTACAAAAGGATTAATTGGAAATAGTGATGTTTATGAGTAAAAATACAATATAAGATATAATATAACCAACTAGGTGTTTGTATATTTCACTAAAATAATAGTTTGGTAGTGCTATGCAATATTTAATTCTGTAGTTGTCAACCTCTTCTTCTAAAATAAGATTGGGCAGAGATCAGATTGAGATTTTGTTGTAGAATATTACTAACCGGTTTTGTATATTAAAGGACACAGTAGATAAATATTCTGATTTTATTTAAAAACTCAAGAGAAAGAAAACATCAGTTCCACCTATTACGTTACCATAGCGACGAAAAATAACCTATACGGACTATCACCGGAAATTAGAAAAGTTGTCATCGTAAATGTTTTGCAAATAATAGATCAAAGGCTGTCCTATACAGTTGAGTGTACCACATTTACTTATAATTGTTATGGTCGTTCAAGGGGACTCTTTGTAAATTGGAAGAAAGTAACTGTGTTATAAATACAGCTATAACTTCGTTGTTATTTCGAATTTTTTAATAAAATTTTAGGACAGTATGATACTAAGAAATGTTTTTACGTAAAAAAAAACAAAAATCGTTTTTATGAAAATTGAGAAAGTCCCTTTAAGGTAAATTAAATTGAAAAGAAGGAGAGGATAAATTGAAGTCAAGAATTTATAAAGAGATGAGAGCACTGAGAAGAATTACAGGAAATACGCTGAGAGCTCGAAAGAGAAGTGAAGATATGAGAAGAAAATGTAACGTACAGTATATAAATGACACAAAATAGAAAAAAGAATCGAATAACCACATAAGTAGAATGGAGGAGACCCGTGTCTTCAAAATAGCAAGAGAGTCATCAATTGTCAGAACTATAGTATCGAACGACCGCGCAAAAGACGGAGTGACAACCTTCCATACAGGTGTTAATCCGCCAATGAATAAGCAGATTTGCTTATAAAGAGGAAGAAGAAGAAAGTATAGACGCATAGTTAAGATCATCGAGCAATAAGACAAAAGAGGGAATCTAATCGTTATGAAAAGGAGACCAAAAAAGTGGCCTCTGATGGCGGGCATATCCGGAAATGCAAAGGCGCTAAATTTAAATTTTCCAACACTTGTTAACAATACCTGTAAAATATTTTCAGACAAGAAAGTTTTAATTAAATATTAACGATAATAGTCTAAAAAGTGACACAATTGGTAAAAAACTTCAATATAAATAAAATTTCATGTGACAGTTGGGACAAACAATAACATAACCAAACTAAATTTGACTTCTTAAACAAGGAAAGAGACAGTCTATCCTTGTCTAAAGTGGCCTCTCAAGATGGCACTTCCTGTCTATCAATATGTTTACCCCTTCTACCTTTACATTCCCTCTTTTGTCTTATTGCTCGATGGTTAAGATACATCGCTTGAAAAAGACACTCTTCCGAAGCAGCTGTAGTGATAATACTTAAATTCTAATAAATTTTTGAAATAAGAATATATATATAGAATAAGTTTTGAAAACAGAAGTTTTCAAATCAGAAATTAATAACGGCCGAATCCATCACTTGTTTATAGATTAGTATCTAAAAATGGAAAGTTTTTAATAAAAATTAATAAGCATACACTCCCATTATTCATGTTTATTTTTAATTTTTCAATGAGAGAAATCTATCATGATACTATGACTAAGAAGATAAGATATTGCGCATAAGTCGTGACGTCATTGGAGAGTTGGACGTTCGAAATGTCAGTTTTTTGTATGTATCAATAAATAATGTTTAATAAATAGTTTGGAGATATCCTTATGTGTACGATTATTGTAATTATTAAACCTCTTAACTTATTTTCGTCTAGTAATTTCATCACAGAATGCATACAAATCCCATTTAACTTTAACAAGAATTCAAATTCTACTCTCCAATGACGACATGCACGAACACGACCGATTTTGTGCTACGGGAAGATCCTATCTTGTTAGTCATAGTATCATGAAATCTATACCCAATTTGATCTATAAAAGTGACATGTAGAAATTCTTGTATTGTATGTCTCCCAGAGATCTCTGATGTTTCCGATAATAAAACTGTCAGAACACTCCCAAAAGTCCCAAACTGAGCGAAAGGATTGTAGAAAATTATGGCGTGTGTATAATAATAGCAATGGACTGCGTATTGGTGGTTGCATATGTTAAACACTATAGTACACAATTTATTAACATTTTAAAAATGTTTTTATTAATATTTTAAATACAAAATATTATTTTTTGCCCTTGTAGAACAATTCTTATTAGGGAAGAGTGGGGCACATTCGGACCATAATTGTTTTTAGGTAAAAAAATACAAAAAATGTATTCATGTATTTAATACATTCAAATGTATTTATGTTTGTTCAAAGTTTACTAATATGAAAGTGTCTTTTATGAGTTCCTCGCCGGGTTCAAAAGATGCAAGACTTTCATTGTCATCCGAGTCATCACAAAAAATACTGACTTCCGATTCACTGCTAGAGCTGTCACCAAAAACTTTTTTTTTATTTTTTGGCTTTTTTTCTTTGCTTGTTCATCCCTATTGGTTAAGAACTTTTGCTTCTTTCTTAGATTACTGTCCTCTTTTTCTGATTTCACTTTTTCTTTTATTTATTTTTTTTTTATTTTCTATTTCTTCCAATTGCTGTTTTTTAGGGGCTTCTGTATAAATTCTAGATTTTCCTTGGTTTGCTTTAATTTTTCTTTTTTTATCTTGACGTTTTTCAACTATTAGGAAAGGTCTTACGTATTCAGGACTTAGAATTTTGCTCGCAACTGTTTCGTCGCCCTCGATCCCCGACTTTTCATTATTATCTTGTACAGAGTCATCAAGGACTACGCCGACACTTTTTGAAGTAGATGTCTGATTATTTATTTCAAAATCTGCATCTTAATTTGAGATATTTTCACGTCTTGATTCATTCTTATAGACCTTAGTGGCATCAAAATCTGCGTCACTAAATGCTTGTGAATTAAGGGGCCATATTCCTGGTTTTTCAAAGGAGCTTGTCATCATCAAGCTTGTCATTCTGTTCTGTCCCTTGCTTGAATTTTCCACTTGCCGACTCCGATCTTCTCCGCATCTTGTGTTACCCCATCCATCCACCTCAGCTTTGGTCTACCCCGTCGTCTCATTCCCACAGGTTGCGCTGTTAGAATCTTTTTTATCATGTTCGATTCAGGGGCCCGGGCTACATGTCCTGCCCACTGCAGGCGGTTTCGCTTGATTATAGTGGTAATATCTTTACCACCAAACGTATGCTTGTAGATATTCTGCAGTTCGAAGTTATATCTACGCCTCCATATTCCGTTCTCACAGACCGCTCCAAATATCTTGCGTAGCACCTTTCTTTTAAAAATGGATAGAGCGGATTCATCTGTTTTCGTTAGCGTCCATGCCTCTGATCCGTATGTGAGAACGGGGACTATCAGTATACAGCCTTATAGGAGTTTTTTGAGACAGACGTGTGTTAGCTAAGTACTTTGATAGACCATAATAACACCTGTTTGCAATTATTATTCGCCTTTTTATTTCCTCAGACGTATTGTTATTGGGGTTAACCGATATCCCTAGATATATGAACTCATTGACTGCTTCGAAGTTTTGGTCATTGATGATTAAATTTGTGTCAACATTTCCAGCTCTTGTGTTTGTGTTAGTCAAAGGAGCTTGTAATATTTCTAAAAATGGTTGTTTTGTAATTTTTGGGATATTTTTAACAGCAATAGTTTTTCCCGTATCATTTCTCATCCACTCATTTAGGAAACAGAGCATTTACTCCTAAAAGGCCCATAAACTCCCACATCAAGTGGTTGGGGTTTATGGGAAGTATGCGGAGGAAACGAAAACATTACTATTCCATGATCTCGCGCATAAAGTATTGCGTCTAGACTAGTGTGAGACTCATGGTTGTCCAGTAGCAATATTTTATTTTCCTTATCGCATTTTGTATGGTTTACAACGTGCTCCAGAGTTTTAATAAAAAGGTCTTTACTCATCCACCTAGACTTATTTCCAAATGCTACACTTAAAAACGGTGCCTCATATAAATAGTCTTCGATATTTCTTACCCTGGGAAATATGTAAATCGGTGGTAAT